TTTTTTTTTTACAATTTCAATTTTTTTAAAATTTTTTTCTTCAATTTGAACCGCCATTAGATCTTCATACGAAGTCGGAATGAGTAGATTGTTAATCTAGATTGTAGTCTTCTATATTGACTATGTTTTAGCCTAAAAAACAGCTTAATTGATTAAGATATGATTGAGATATATAGCTCTAAACATGGGCTGTCACACCCCAAAACCGGAACGACGGAAACGTTATGGGGTGGATGACGTCATGTCAGGTATCACAATATATGCAGTATAGTAATCAAAGTACAACAACCATTGCATTAATAGTAATAGTTTTACATAGTTTACATTTGATAGCAACATCAAAGTAATACAATAGATAATATAGATGCAACTCGGTACTAGGTTGTCTCTGCAATTGCTCCCGGGATGTACCTGTCTATCGATAACCTGAGAATACAAGTTATTTTGAGAGCGAGTATCAACATTTTTATAATGCTGGTGAGTTCATAAGTATTTAGTGTCATTTGTATAAGTACACATTTTTATTCAAAATAACTTTATGAAAGATAGTAGTTTAGAATCTATGGTGTATTAGTGTCCTTTCCAGAAAATCCTATATTTTCTAAGTAAAAGAAGTCTTCTACCAAGACTTAACAGGTTTTATGATTTAAAGTGAAATTTTCCCCAAAATACTATCCTTATTAAAATACAGTATTGACTTTAAAGGAAAAATAAGTAAAACACAAGTAAAAATACTAGGGGAAAATAACATATACTTCAGCAGTAATACTGCTAACTAAAAGCAATTGAAAACATAGACTCCATGAGAGTATCGAATAACTGATACGCCTGGCTCAGTCTAATAAAGGAAGCACAAAAAATCCAGACATCATCGAGGGAACGATACCGCTTGCAAAATCTAAAACAAAAGGGTGAATGTGAACTCAAATGTAACCATGCTGATCGACGATAGAGTATCCAATGACCCTCTAGGTCATGCATAGAGGTAGTGGCAGTAGAGGTAGTGGCATTATGTTACCCATGGGCCTTACCGGCGTGGACTGTATCTAGTAGTCTGGGTGTGGGAGTGTCAGACCCGTATAGATCTATACACATGATGTTCGCTCTCCTTCCCAGAGACTCTGGTTACACGGCATTGACGCAATGAAGCGTCGTAGAGGGAAATAGTGTGTCACATTCTAAAGCAAAAGAGACAGAGATAGAGATAGAGATAGAGATAGAGATAGAGATAGAGATAAAGATGGAGATAGAGATAGAGATAGAGATAGAGACTCCTAACTATTCCTATAATAGTTACTAGGGTTCTAGAAACATGAACAATAGAAGAATGCCTGTACTAATCAAGACGATGGATCAACTGAGAGAGAGAGAGAGAGCTTTTATGTCCATATATGTATACTTAATATATAATTAATGTTTAAACGACCTTCGGACGGATATCTGATACCCACCAGACCACATCCCAACGAGGAAAAGGAAATAAGGCGAACTAGCCTTCCTAAGTCCTTTAAACATTATTTATATAATTATACAAATATAGGCATGCATTTAACGAAATAAATACATAGAAGAAACTTTAGTAAAACCTTTATACATAAGAAATCTACGACTTGATGTCATTTTGAAAAGCAAGCTTTAAAAAGGGTTTTTATAAAACAGTTTTAGTAAAGAAAACCTTTGATAAGTTATTACAACTGGATGTCTCTTTAACAAACACATTTTGGAAAACTTTGGATAATCTTTTATGATCTAAAAAGAGATATTCATACTTTAACGAGATTTGAAAATCTAAATTTGATTGAAACAGTTAACATGCAAAAGTCTAGTTTGCTATACAGTTATTAATCACATGCGATTTATCTAATAACTGTACAGTTCAACTTGTATTCCCCCCCTATAAAAGCAGTTAAAATTTCACTTTTTGGATGCTAAAAGGTCTTATTTCACTTGTAGAATTAGGCTAGGTTCAAATCTAGGGCTTAAGAAGGGTTTAAGGCTCCAAATAGACCATTTAAGGGAGTTCACGGCTGTAAACCTAGAGTTTATGGCCGTAAACTCTCACTTGGCCATTTCCTTCATGAATTAAGGTCTTAAATGATAGAGAATAAAGTTCTATGCATTATTCCAAGCCATATGGGGGGTTAGGGCATCATTTGGACTCATTATGGGAGTTTACGGCCCATGGACCAATTCTTGGGGGGTTTACGGCCGTAAACTCCTAGGTCCTTGGTTTCTTTGATGTTTAAAGCCCCGACTTCATTTGTGGTTGATTCTAGACATTTTCCTAGGCCATAGGAGGTGTTTAAGGGCAAGTTTAACACCTTAAAAGGTGTTTACGGCCCATGAAGATGGGTTTACGGTCCAAGAGTGTTCTTGGGCCGTAAACTCATGTTTACTCCTCAAAATGCAAGGTTTTGGTGCTCTAAGCTCGTATGTGTAAGTCCACAAGTCATATCTAAGCCCTAAGAGTGATTTAGAAGGGTTTTGGGGCTTCAAAACCCCACTTATGGGTGTTTACGGTCCAAGAGTGTTCTTGGGCCGTAAACACATGATTTGGCCCCTATTGGATGTCTTAAACACGAATTTGCATGTTAAATAAGCTACACAACAAGTTAGGATAGATTACCTACGATTTTGGAGCTCGAAATGGGCGTTTTTGCATCGAAAGCAACCTGTAGAGAGAGAGTGAAAGGGTGTAAATGAGGTTAACTCACCCTTATATAGGGGTTTGAGTTTGTGGCTCGGTGAAAATCTACCCGACACTGACGTTAAACAGGTCTTTTGGTCGCACCCGATTAAATGACCGTAATTTGACTTGGTTGAAACTAATTATTTTTTCAAGGGAATACTGAGGGTGTTTCTAATTTTGTTCCAACCCTTACGAAGTCATAATAAAGTCCCTATTTAATTAACATAATCCAAAAGTTTAACGGACGATTAATAAAGCGGGTTTTATTAACGGATGATGAGGTTAAAAAAATGACGGGATAAATTTCGGGGTGTCACATGGGCTGTTATGATTGTTCTAAACTGTTTCGGTATTTTTTAGCTTTTTTGTCCAACTTTGAACCATCATAAAATCTTCATACCAACTCGGAATGACATGATTTTTTTTTCAGATTGTAGTCCTCTGTTTTGTTTACATTTTAGGCTTAAGAAATAGCTTATTTGGTTTAGTTTTGGCTGAATTATGCAGCCGCAAACAAGGGCTGTTAGGATTTTTGTACACTGTTTCAACAATTTTTTAGCTTTTTTGTCTAACTTTGAACCATCATAAAGTCTTCATACGAGCTCGGAATAAGGTGACATTTTTTTTCAAATTGTAGTCCTCTGTTTTGTCTACATTTTAGGCTAAAGAAATAGTTTATTTGATTTATTTTTGGCTAAGTTATGTAGCTCTAAACAGTGGATGTTATGATTTTTCTTTCAATAGTTCTTGCATTTTTTTTGCTTTTTTTGTCCTAACTCTTCCTTGTTTGTATATACGTAGATGACACACACACACCTTTGCAACAACGGATTGTACAAAATAGACAAATCACACCCAATTTTGAGACGAACATGACAACATTATTTCTACCGTGGAGACATCGCAAGGATGGACGGACCGTCGAGATCTTCTTGCTAATACTATGTTTACTGATTGGAGGCGTGCAAACAATTAATTTATTCCATGTTTTTATGTAAACTTCATTATTCATTATGTGGTGTTTATATATTGTATTCATTATGTGATGTGATAATATTTCTTTAGTTTGAATCTATTTGTAAATTATTCATTTATATTAGAAATATGTTTTTCAATACAAGATATATATTAAACAATATTAATTAACTAGAAAATAAATTATTTGGTAAAATGTGATGTTGGAATAAAAAATTATAAACATAAAATATGCTTATTTTGGCAAACTAAGATGTGAATCATAATGCATTTTTATAAAAACAATGTTGTTTGAAAATGAATAAACAAAGTAAAAAAACGCATTTCCATTTCACTGTTTAATACTACCAAACAAGAGAAATGATTCTCAAACAAATTTCTCTAGTGGGTTCTAAGGTCTACCAAACAGTGGAGTCAATTCTCTTTCTCCAGCTTAATTCTTTTTCTCTGTATTTCCATTCTCTGCTGCAATTCCATTTCTTTGTACCAAACGCACCCTAATGGAGTAGTGATGGGTGGGGGTCTTATAAGAAATAATTATTAAAAATAAAAATAAAAAAGACAATTTCATCTTTTCACTCCTACATAGGGAGAGATATTAGTGGTTACAACCTCACGGATAGACCATTCGTATTAATTTTTCAAAATTTAGACTAAAGATAGGAAGAAGAGCAAACCAAATGCACCAAATCTATAATTTTTATAATCAGAGTAAAAAAAAAGTCACTCACACTCAAATAAATAAAAAAGATAGAGCCTTCTCACTTTTCCCTACAAAAAAGCCCCTCACATTTTCCTCATCAATGGCTGCTACAAGCTTTTCAGAGACATAGAGAGGTTAAAATCGAAAACAAGCGAAACTCTATCAATGCCACTTTCATCATCAACCTCTTTGTTTCACTGTTATTCCCTAAAAAAAGAACTTTTATTGTTTTTTACAAATGGGTTTATGATAATAACTCCTAAATTCCTTTCTTTATTCTTTTTTCCAAATGGGGTTTCTACTTTTTAGGTATTTGTTGGGAGTTTCATGATTTTAAGGAATTTGCAAGCGGTTGCCAACAAATTCAACAAATACATTTAATATCAGCAAGAGTTATAAATGTAAAAATCCTCTTTCACACTCCCTCACTTAATTTTATAACAAATTACAAAAAAAGTCTACTATTTTCTTTATGTCTTTTTTGGATGTATATCCATGTGTCAGTAAATGCGTATATACATGTATCAGTTAATATCGATTTAAAAAATGTACCAAATAAATGCACTTTTCTGCTCTTTTTAATGTGTGTTGTTGTTGTTGTTTCAGTTTCATAATAACTCATTAACAAAAAAAATGGCTATTGGAAACAACATTCAAGGTGAAGGTGAAGAAGCCATTGTAGCAATGGAACAAGAGGAGAGCCAAGGGGTAGATCAGTCAATGTCTGGTTTCAAGAACTTTCTTTGGCATGGTGGGTCTGTTTATGATGCGTGGTTTAGTTGTGCTTCGAACCAGGTAATTTAAGAAAATACCCATCAACGACAACACTTGTTTCTTTCATTTTCTTGATTTCTTGTTTCTGTTTTTTACATGATAAAGATCGAATTTTTTTTATTGATTTATTTTGAAGGTGGCTCAAGTTTTGTTAACTTTGCCATACTCTTTTTCGCAATTGGGGATGCTTTCGGGGATTATATTTCAAGTGTTTTATGGTTTGCTTGGGAGTTGGACTGCTTATCTTATAAGTGTTCTCTATGTGGAGTATAGAACAAGGAAGGAGAAAGAGAATGTTAGCTTCAAGAATCATGTTATACAGGTTAATTAGTTTTTCCTTTTTTTAAGAACAAATAATTAAACAGAAAAAAATGAATTTTGAAAGTTTACCCATTGTTTTTGCCACATAAAAGCTACCCATTTTCTTTTATATTTATGTAAGAGTCTTTATTTTTAGAGTGTACTTCTGCAAAGAATCTATTTTCATTGATTATGCTATATTTATGTAAGAATATTTATTTTTAGTGCACTTCTGCAAAGAATCTATTTTCCTCTACTTTATGAAGATTTCTGTTTGGCTAAAAAGACATCACATATTACAATATGAACACCCTAGTGAATTTTTAAATGTTTTTATTCGCTGAAATTGCATTGTTTTCCGAAAAAACTGATTATAAAAAGTTAAATATTGGTTGACTTTTTATAGAAGTGTCAATAGGGTGTTTAAAGGATGTCCTATTAGCAACACCCACATATATATATATATATATATATATATATATATATATATATATATATATATATTATGTTGGGAACTGAAATCTTGAAAATGAGAGACTTTAATGATTAGGAATTGGTTACACAATGGGTAATTGAATTTACTTTTTGTTATTATGGTATTACATTTTTCCTAACTTGTTTTTGTATATGTGAGAAAGACTCTTTCAAATAAAGAAAAAGTTGGAATCTACTATAGTCATTTAATCATTTATTAATATTTCTTGAAAAATAATAAAAATCTTTATATATTATATTTATATCACAGTGGTTTGAAGTATTAGATGGGCTATTGGGACCACACTGGAAAGCCATTGGGTTAGCCTTTAATTGCACATTTCTTCTATTTGGCTCGGTTATACAACTTATAGCTTGTGCAAGGTTAGCTTAAAATTCCATCTCATTATTATCCTTCACCGCTTCCAATTTATCCTTTAAAAGAGGGGTGAGTATATTTGACATTTCGTAAGTTGTTATTATATTATATTATATATATTATATTTACAGCAATATATATTACATAAATGATCATCTTGACAAGAGGACATGGACATACATATTTGGAGCTTGTTGTGCTACAACAGTGTTTGTACCCTCTTTCCATAACTATAGAATTTGGTCTTTTATTGGGCTTGGAATGACCACTTACACAGCTTGGTACATAACAATTGCAGCCTTCATCCATGGCCAGGTATAATCACCAAAAATTAAAATGAATTTTTTATATGATTAAATAAAATATAGTAAGTTTATTTTTGGTCCCTTGAGTATAGCTGATTTTTATCAAATTTGGTTCTCAAATGAGATTCTCATATATTTTTGGTTCTTTGTGCACATAAAATGACTAATTTTGTCCCCAAGTATAACCGACTTTTGCAATTTTGATCGAAAAACTTGTCTTTTTCTGGAACAAGGACAAAAAAACATTACAAAAAACTCGGATAAGAACCAAAATTGCAATAGAAAACTTTTGAGACAAAAAAAAAAAATACAAAAACCAACTATACTTATGGACCAAAAATGTAATTTACTCTAACAATCAAGGGATATTTACCCAAATAACTACAAGTCCTTAAAAGATAAAACAAACTTTTTAACAAAAAAAAAAAAAAAAAAAACACACACAAATATCTACCAATTTCGAACATTGCAGTTTTTACTCTTCTTCCTCACAAAAACAGTTCCAAAATTTGCTTTTTTCTATTTATGAAGTTGTTTTTAGCTCTAAAAAGCAATTTTCGAAATTGTTTTTTGTCAGAAAAAAACGAGTTCATAAACTCATATCTATTTTGAAAATTGTAATTTTCGAACTTGGGGGTTATTTGTGTGTGTGCTTTATTTTATTTTTGTGGTTGTTGTTAAAAACTTAGTTATTTCCTAATATCTTTTTAGAAAATGTGGTAATTTCGTGAATATCCCAAAAATCAATATATCATAGGGATTAGAAACGTAATTTACTCCGTGATTATTTTTTGTTATGTAGGATGAAGGGGTTGTTCACTCGGGCCCTAAAAAGATGGTTTTGTACTTCACTGGAGCAACGAATATACTTTATACTTTTGGTGGACATGCTGTCACAGTGTTAGTATTCATTTAATTATTTTTTTTTAAATTTAAATGTGTTTATGATACATTTTATTTATATAATAAATAATGATTTGAGGTTTATATACTTTTTATAGGGAGATAATGCATGCTATGTGGAGACCTCAAAAGTTCAAGTACATTTATTTATTTGCAACATTTTATGTGTTCACACTTACACTTCCATCGGCTATTGCCATGTATTGGGCTTTTGGTGATAAACTCCTTAGCCATTCCAATGCCCTCTCTCTCCTACCCCGGAATGGATTTCGTGATGTCGCCGTTGTCCTCATGCTCATACACCAGGTTTTTTTTTTCTTTTTATAATTGGTGGTTAATTCACATAATAAATCGTTTAAATATTCTTATTTCATTTTCTTGTAGTTCATAACTTTTGGTTTTGCTTGTACACCACTTTACTTTGTGTGGGAAAAAGTGGTGGGAATGCATGACACAAAAAGCATATGTTTAAGGGCATTAGCAAGGTTGCCCGTTGTCATACCAATATGGTTTTTGGCCATTATCTTTCCTTTCTTTGGTCCAATCAATTCGGCTGTCGGGGCTCTCTTGGTTAGCTTCACTGTCTACATCATCCCCGCTCTTGCTCATATGCTCACTTATCGAAAGGCTTCTGCTCGCCAGGTATTCTTGATAATCTTGGACTGTGTTTGATATGCATTGCACTAGGATCAATACTGATGTCAACGAGACAAAAGTCACAACTTTTTGTCCATAATAAAAAGGTGGAATAGCGACTTAGTGGCTTGGTATTCATGACACCTTTGTACTATGTTTAGTGTGTATTGAACCGTATGTCAATGAGATAAAAATTGTAATTTTAATTGTCCTCGAAACTTGTACTCATGACAATGTTAGACTGATTGACTGATACTAATGTCAATAAGACAAAAAATGCAACAAAAACTTGGGAAAGAGGTTTGATCCCAAAATTTTGGTTGGTGTAAAAGACATTAATGCCCTTAAGCTATTGTTGTAAAACTTTTTGGTTGTAGAATGCGGTGGAGAAACCACCATTTTTTCTTCCAAGCTGGACGGCTATGTACATGGTGAACATTTTCATTGTGGTGTGGATTATGGTGGTAGGATTTGGATTTGGAGGGTGGGCAAGTATGACAAACTTTATCAAACAAGTTGATACCTTTGGGCTCTTTGCCAAGTGTTACCAGTGCAAGGCGGCACCACCATCACCACCAGTTTCGCCATCATCAACACTACGTCACTGAGATTGCAAACCTTCTTTTTTTGCACCAAGTATGTTCTAGTTTGGTATAATGTGTAAATGGCTGGATGAATGATGTTAAGTAACTTGAACCATGAAAAAAAGGATAATTAGTTTTGGTGTTATTTTGTTAAACATGCTTAATGCTTAATAGAAAGGTGCTTTATATAATGAGGTTAACAAATACGTTCTCACTTTTCATACATATGAAGGAGTTGCTTTCAATTAACTCTCTAATTCAAGAGTCAAACCAAAGTTTTTTTTTTCTACATATAAGAGTTCTTACTTTATTTTACATGAAACCCTTACTAATTCTTAACATTCAAGTTATTATATTTCTTAATAACACGTAAGTAACAAAATGCTATAACTACACGTCACAGATTTCATGAAATTAACTTAGATCACTTGATATGGAACTATAAGAGACAAAATTAACTTGGGCGATATCCTTTGATATCGAGCTCACACTCTTCACAAAACTTGCTCCCGTGATACTAAACTTTGATCAATCGAATTTGCATTGCATTATCCTTTTCTTGGATGGATTTAATCTCTACTTCAACACTCGCGATTACTAAAAAATATGCATAAACCAGAGAAAAGTGAATTGATTTGAACTTTCAAGGATGCCTTTATAAGTTTTTAGGAAATAAATGAACTTCAATCTAATATGTATGAATTGCAATAATTCATGTGTTATGATATTAGGAAATAGAATGAAATTCAATCATGTAAAAAAAATTATGTTAAAAAGAAATGTGTTTACCTTTTAATGGATTTATGAGTACACTTTGGTATAAAAAGAATGGAATATCATGAAGGCTTCTTAAGGAATATAATCATGTGGGTTTCACAACCAAACATGCCCATACTCTTGATTTAATAATTTCTAAAACTAATTTAGTTTATCGTATACTTAGGGGTGTTTGGATTAACTTATTAGCTTATTTGTAGTAGGAATAAGCAATAACCAATAAACAAGGAGAGATATGCTTATTAAAATTAGCTTATTTAGCCTATTTTTAACACAGTAACCTGATTTTTAAGGATTTTATCCAAACACTTAAATGTAGCTTATTGTGGTGTGAATAAGCAATAAGCAATAAACACCCTTTTTTTTCTATCAAAACACCCCCCTTAACTAGTTAACGAAAAAATCATATACCCAGAATCGTTTTCCAAACAGAAATTCCTACCAAAATTGATTAACTAAAAACAATGATATTTTGGTGGAACATAATAATGTGGATGACTTGGTTTATCATTAGATAAATCAAATAAACTTTTATGTTTTGTTCATACTTATATTCATATTCATTAGATCATTGATAAATATCAAAATCAAGTGAGAAAGATTAAGAAAAAGAATTAATAGATTCCACATATCATTATAGACAATATGTTTAATTCCTTCACCTTTATAATAACAAGATACTTATATTTTCATTTTACATATAATAATATAATAATGAATGTTTATTTTTAATTATAATAGTGATATGCATGGATCTTGTAAAATATACCTTATATTTTTACTAGTAATAACAATACCTATTCATAATCATAAAAATTTGTAGGAAAATGGAACTAAAGTTATACGACGTGGTATTGGTCATATCTTGTTACCAAAAAAATCAACGTTCTCAAAAGAGCTACCCTTATCCTCCCAACAAAGGACACAACACTCGCCAATGGCGTCAATGGCACTTTCAATTGCTTCTTCTTCTTCTCTCTCTTGCTCTCGTTCATGTTCCCCAACTGCCATTCCCCTCGCTTCACCCTCTTCCTCCATCTCTCTCACCTCATCAATTCAACCACTCAGTACGTAAACTCTAAATTCCTTTCTTGTTTTAACTTATGCAATTTTAAGCTTGACTGAGTTTCGTTTCAGTTTATTGCGGAAGAGGAGACAAGAAGACTGCTCAAGGAAAGCGATTCAATCACTCATTTGGGAATGTGAGTTTTCCTGTTTTTCTCAATTTTAGGGTTTCGAATTTCAGTCTATTAATTGCTTGCGTAATTAGCAGAAACGTTCGACAGTTTCCTATTTTCAGCAATCCATAGTAGTAAAATCATGCTCAAATTATCACATAAAATTTTAGCATTTATATGATTGAACAGGCAAGGCCATGGAACAACACCAAGGGCGGAGGACCACCGAGGATGCCGGTGCCACCAGCTTCACCACGGAAAGACCGCTTCGACGACGGTGAGGTTGTTAAGATAGAGATCGATGAGTCTATCTTCTCTAACTAATCTAATCCAAACATTTGTTTAATCTTCTTGTTTCATGATTTTGGGATCAAACTATTTCGATTAAATCCTATGCTTTCAGTTCCAAATCCAATGAGAATCATCAAATTTCTCTTCGGTTACATCATCTGAACACTCTTAAATCTTACTATCGTCCATAATTATTATGGTTAATGTTTATTTATACTTTATATTCAGTTATTTTATTACATATAATATTATTAAACTTATATATTTTATATATAATATATGATATGATATTGTTAAACTGATAGTGAAAGTGGAGTTTATAAGAGTGATTTGATTTAAGTTTTACTACTTTTATATTTTATGAAAATATCATAAGTAATATTTGTTGGGTTATGAGCATTCTAACACTCCTAAGTGTACATGCAACCCTAAATACCTTGGATCTATGTTTTCTCTATTATACATGCAAATATGAACATCCAAGGTATTATCCTAATCTAGCATACAAAATAATGGATATAACAAGATAGAATACATACCTCTTTGATAGTGCTTATCTTCATGAAGCTTGAGTGCTTAGTGCGGCCAAGTGTGACACCTCAAATGGTTCACACAACACCATAAGCACTTGGAATAACTTAGAGAGAAATTAGCACACTTCATGAAATCGTGTAGCCCTCATACATACACATAGTGTTAGTCACCACTTCTTGAGCCATGGGTTTCTTTTATATGGTGGCTATTAGGGTTACACCATGTAACTCATGACTTTACCCATTCCTTATGCTCCATGGATTTTAACCTCCATGGAGTATCCATGGGTCACCCCATGGACTTAGTCCAACATAAGGAATCTTGGATCACAAGCCCACATATATAAGAATGAATGATTTACACAATCAACCCATATATTTAATTAGTCTTCTTTTGATCACTTAATTAATTCTAGATTAATTCTTGATCAATACTAATTAAATAATCTCATTATTCTTATTATTAATATACTAGAACTTATAATATATTAATAACCGTAAGTGTCTTATTTCTCTCATTATAGTCTATCCAAGTGCATGATGCCATGCAACCCAAATGGACCATGCCGGGTCGGGTCAAGTCTTACCAATTATAGTTATGGACTTAGACATTAATCCAACAGTCTCCCACTTGGATAAGTCTAAAACTATTATTGCGTATGACTTCAGGAACCAACTAGCAATCGTAGCTCTCAAAAGCTTCTGTCGAACTCTGACCTTGTAGATGAACTCTGATCTTGTCAATGACTTGTCCATTAGATAAGGGATCATATATTCCTCCATTCTAGATATCATATGGACTGAGACATGGATTATAATCATTCTCTCTGTCCATTAGTTGTTTCCCGATTTCCGATTTATGACGACTGACTAATTGAACAAATCAAATCAGTCCTGGCCCGGCCGAGCACTTCCATTTGTCATCATCAAATCATCGAGGGGCCCACAGATATCGCTTTCATCCCGAAGGTAAAAGGAATGGATAAACTTCGACTCATATGGCTTGTTCTACTACTTGTTGAATCATACACAAAGACACGTTTTATAACATCGAGTTACCAATGCGTTTCGTGTAATCAATGTACTATCAACTCATAGTAACAACTCATATCTCTAGGTTTGAAGAATATAAGATATTATCGTCTCATGATCACTCGTGATAAAATCCATGAAGTGATTCCAATGAGCGCGGGTTGAATCCAATACTCAGAACTTATGAGCACTCATGAGTGTTGTAGCCCTTTGTCCAACACTTAGACCTCTACAAGCCAACCCATGACAGTCTTAATTCATATCTACTTCCAACATATGACCGACTGTGGATGGTTTGAATAACTTAGTCATTCCGGAAGAATAACCTAGTTTATTCGGGAAGTCAAAACATGCAAAGTGAAACACAATAATAATTGAATCCAATATGGTCTCAGAACTTATGAATATAAATAAAACTCCTTTTATTTATCACCATATGATTACACATTATTCATTGTATATTGTTTCAGCTATCAACATTATTCTTGAATTTAAAACAATAGTTGTCCCATGCTCCAAGCATGCACACTATGTTTTCTAAACACTAGTCATGCCATACACCAAGTATGCATATATGTTTGTCTATGATCTTTATTTTGTGAACTAGATCAATGAACATAACTTCAATGATTCTCTTTTCACACTCCCAAATCCTTACTGCAAATGCAAGAATTCCAAATTCATGTCATTTACTGAAATCTGTTAGATTCTAAACTTATATGCATCGATCCTCTTGTAATGATTATGCACAAAGTCAAAAGACTTAACAACAATCATTACAGAGCATTCCAAAGGAGATCAACTCCTTGGAACCATCCTTCTTGCATTAAGTTTCCTTAATCTTACACAGATTGAAAATTCTAACTTTGAAACATTTCCAGATTCCATTTGACTATCACTTCTGAACAAGAGTTGCCTCCTTACAGATTATGTCAATATGGTCCTTCCAGAATTATCACTATACTTCCAACTGTCCTTGAGCAACCAATCTTTGGTAAACCTTAGATTGTCCTCGACAATTGTTTAATCCTTTTAGTCATATCCAGTTCTAAACCTTTTCCCTTCTTAATGCCCCAGGCATTTGGAAATTTTAGAAAGGATGAATATAGCACATGTAATCGATCCTATATCCGAAGCATATGGGACACGATTCATGATGTCTCACATAAAGACTAAACCAGTCTTTTGCTATAACATTTCCATTTCAATTTGCCAAGTTCTCATAATTCAGATTATGAAAAGGGATGCCGTAATCATAATCGAATTTAAGAACGCAAATAATGGACCCATATACAGAATTTCCTTATGTTGAGCCATTCCAACATGAAATTCATATATATCCTTGACTAAATGATTAAAACCTCACGATCTAAGCTTATAGATTTGAGATGAAGTATAATTTCCTCTCCCTTAATTATAGCAAAACAACTTTTTCCCAATTGAAACCTTTTGTTTTCTATAATTAACATTGCTAACTTGCAATCTTATCATAATTATCATGCTCCCACTAACATGATGATTTATGCTCCCACTAGCTTTGACATGTACTCAAAACAGCTGGACTTCTAGAAATCAATACTTTATTGACTTTCTTACCAAAGTTCAGATTTCTGATACTAGATTGTTTTGATAAGACTTTATCAAAAACATACACCTTCCCTTAGATAGCTCATGGTGTGTCAAAACAATTTTAAGAACTATGAAAGGGATGCCGTAATCATAGTCTTGATCGTTTTGACCTTTGCCATTTCTCACAAGTCCAAGTTAGTGTGCCGGTAAACCACACACGCTCCACTAACGACTTTGAGAATGCAAATATCACAATTGCTATCTAGCTAAAATCTACTTAGTGAAAGTGTTTCCTCACCATCATTTTCATGAATCGGAGAGAAACCTTATGACACTTAGATTTAATGGTGTATGTGTTCTTATCCATGTGAATTGTCAAAACCATAGTCACAAGACAAGGATAATGACAAATCCAAACTCATATGGACTGAACTCAATCTTAATTTCTTGCCACCTGGCAGCTCAAGGGCCTACCATTGCTTCCAAGTTGTTGTGCAACACATTGAGAACTCTAAGAACTCATATGCAAAGCCAACTTTAACTGGAATGGGCACAGAATATGTCAACACGATAGGTTATAAACCTAAGTCGTGTGCTAGTGAAGAACTTTAGGTTTCATTCTTGATTAGTTCTTGAGACTTTCAAGACCTTTAAGACTCCCACTGTCCTCTTGACCTATAAGACTCCCTTGTCAAACATCCAAGAGATAGTGTGGATTCTAATCAAGACAAACACTTCACACAATTGGCCTAGTTGGTCTTTGTTTTATCCAAAACATCACAACTTACCAATTTCAAATGTACAAGAGTAGAAAACTTTTACTCTTACATTTGTCAAGTGTTTTAAACCTTCTTTAAGACATGTCACTCAAATTACAATCTTGGAGTATGACTCTAAGACTTGTATTGGAACGAAGTATGACTCATCTTCTTGATTTAACCATTTCAACAATTCAAGATCCCTTCTTCTTAGTCATAAGAATGCACTAAGACTTCCTTAGAGAACTAATTTTGATATGGTTTCTTAATCATTAAGATGATCACAAAACTGATACTAAAGTACTCTCCCATCTTTTCAGATTTGAGAAACTTTTATCCTTCTGCCTAATTTGATTCTTCTTATTCGCTCTGCTATGCATTGGAACCTTTTCCAATGTCTCAGAGTTACACTTAAGCTTGTAAGTATAATCATATTTACTGAGCTTTAGTAAACTATGACGAATAGCCTTATATCTTTTGTGGTGGACTTAATCAGTGCACATGACTATGTACTCGATCCCTTAGTCCATTACTTGACTCACACATCCATGTGAACAAGTAATTAGTCTTAATTTTTCCAATACTTGAAAGTTCTCATTCATCATGCTATACAACTTGCATGATTCCAAGTCCCGGTCCAATTGAGACTTTGGATGATGAGAATCTTTCCTTATTTGGTAAATTTAGACATTACCACAAATGAAGGAATCAATTTCATATTTCCACTCTTGCTATTAATGGAATCATATAAGCAACAATTTTTCCTCAAATGCCATTGTAAGGATATTTTAAAATAAATAAAATCAAAATTTTCTTTTATTTTAAAACTATGCGGAAAAACTTATCCTTACAATCCATATGAAAACTTGTTGTTATCTATTCCTTAGCAATATCTCATAACTCCTAAGAAGTAGCTCAAGAATCCGATCTTCAAACTACGCGATAGAAATCCATCTATGCGATCAGATTCAGCATATTCTTTCTTTAAGTTCCTTTACTTTTCTTTGATTCTTAAAACATTACCATGTGACCCAGTCACATCATGTATCAGGAATCTCAAATAGAAACTTAACAGAGTTAGATTAGTGGACTTTACCTGAAGTAGAGTCAATCTTATTGACTTTAACATCCTTAGGTAAAT